TGCCTCTGCCTTACACTTTCTGCCCAAGCATCCACTGCTGTCAGTTGTCAGAGATAACTCGCTGATTTGCCTCCATTCACTACGTCAGTCCTCACGTTACATTGTCACATTATGCTCTGTATCCATTTTGTGGAAACTTGCTGGGAAAAGTCCATGTAAAGAGATGCAGCAAGTTTACCCTTTCCAGTAGGAATTCAGCTGCGAAGGAATGTGAGGCCAGCTGAGCAGAAACGAGGGAGGGACAGGATGCTGGGCAGGTCACGTAGGGGAATCTGATGGAAAAGTCTTGCCATAAGGGAATGGAAACCAGAGCCAAATGCACCTGCACTTCTCCATTTTGCCGTAGCCAACAGTAGCAAAGGACCTCCTGGGGGTTTATCACATCCTCGTTCCTTCTTCCAGTTGTTCAGTGGATTTGCAGAGTTATTGGTCTCCGTGCAGAGTCACAACCTGCAGTTGGTGTCAGCTCCTCCATTATCTCCAGCCACAAAGGTCTTCGTGAGGGTTCCAGGCATCCTGGCTTTGCAGATGAGCCATCCCAACTTTAACATAAAGTGAGACAGGATCTAATGTTTTTACTGTGTTCAGAAAGAAAACTTCAGGAAATACCTTTGGAAGTTGCTTCTAGGTATAGCATTCTAGGTATTGCCATTAATGAGTCTTCAGTTGCATGATCTTTTTTTTATGGGATTCGTGTCTCATTCAGAGCTCTTTTTTTTTCCCCCTCCTTTTTCTCCTTTTTTTTCCTTTTTTTTCTTTTTTTTTTTCCCAGAAAATGCACGCTGTGAACAGGTGGTTGATTACAGCCAGTCTCAGTGTTAAAGCGACTGAACACTGCCCCGGGAAACTGTATTTTACCCCTGTCAGAACTGTAAAATTCCTCATTTCAGTTCTGAGTTTATAGACATCTCACAAGTGTTCTCATTTCGAAGCACAAAGAAACCAACTGGAAACACTAGATTTTTCCATGAGCCCCAAATCCTGGATTTTGGCCAGCTCCAGTTGTGAGTTCATTCTTGTGAGGCGTTTGGTTGTTCTGGGATCAGCAACATAGACAGTCTGTGAGAAGCTCAGTAATTCTGCATTTGGAGGTAGGTTGCAATAACATTTGATAAGTACAGGATGAGCAGTGAGGGAATACAAAATATTTACTAGCTGCTGAATATTTAAGCGTTGTGCATCCAGTGCACAGAAAGCTGCAAGATAACATGGAAGAAAGCACGTGCAGTCATGTTGTGTTATAATGCATATTTAAAGAGGTAGAATTACAGAAAGTTTTAACTGTAGTATTTCCTTTTTGTGTGTGTGCTTTGAACACATAACTGTATGATATCTTAAAAATAATGTATCATAGTTCTGTGTGAGCAGCGTGGCACTGAATTTGTGCAGAGCACAGATGCTGTGAAGCTCTGCCCAGTCTCCCAGTGACCTTACACTGGGAAATGCAAAACAAACTAGTGGGATGAGTTTCTTTAAGTAATGTTATCCTGAAGGTTAATATAAACCAGTGTTCTCTTTCTGCTGAAAGAGAATGGGATTCTTTGCTGCCTGGGGGTGCTTTTATTTTTCTGGTTACGGTTGAAGCAACATAACCAATGTGCTTAGGTTGTGTGCCTGGTTTTCAGGCAGCTGCCGGGAAGCAAGAGAAGTCTTGGAAAAGTTCTGCTTTGGGGTTTGCCTAGCCCCAAGTCCAGTTTCAGATTTGTCTTCTGGGAGAATTCTTCAGTCTGGTCCGGAAATAGGGAAGGGACCAAGTGTCAGACTCATTTGATCCCTGTGTCACCTTGCAGTAGTTCCCCTGCTCTCTAGGATTAGTAACTGTAATCTAGGGAGATTACGGGGAGTTGAGGGAGCAGGGATTTACTGTGGGAGAGGGACGAGGGACAGGTCCGAGAGCTGACAGAGTCCAGAATTGGCTTCTGCTGGTTTTTCGTGGGGTAGTAACTACCCCAAATCACAGCATGTTTTTTTCCCAATGACAGTAAAAGACAAATCTCTGATTTAGGAGTAGATGCCTGTGCCAAATATAAAGAGCCTTGAGGGCATGAAAGTTAGAAATGCTTCTTAACAAACACTTGGCAGAATTTTTAACACAGACTTTTTCTTTCTTAATTTGCTGTTTTATGTATGTTAAAAATAAATTGCATCGTAAGAGAAATACCTGAACAAGCAACAAAGGCTTACAGTGACAAAGATCAGGTAATTTTCTGTATGCTCTGAAAATAAATGTAAAGCAGAACTAATAGGAGTTTGGAGATGGCATTGCTTTGGGCAGGACAGTAAATGGAAACGGTGTTTGCCGGGGCGATCTTGCTCGCCCGGTGAGTGGGGCTCATCCAGATCATGTAGCCAGAGGGCAACTTGTTCATCTAGGAGTGACGAGGCCGCACGGGGAACGTTGGTCACAGCTGTGTGCCCCGTGAGAGGGTGCAGCCCCGAGAAGCCAGCGCACGCTCACTCGTGTCCCTCTGCCAGCACAAGCGTTTGCAGAGCCGTACGGAGCAGGGAATTGAGGACCTGGACTCCCAAAAGGCCTGAATTTCCTTTTTTCACTCAGATTAGTTCCCTGTTCAGCAGCCACAAAGCTTTCAAGGGAGGCACTGGGTGGACTGTATCCTGCTAAGAAATTGCACAGAAAATAAGTAATCCAGGAAAGGATTTAGGCGTTCGGATAGGCAAACCCCAAAGCATGGGAGCTTGGCATGATGCCTTCGCCAGGAATCCAGTTCTGATACATATACACAAGGCAGCTGTAAATACTAAGGAGGCAGCTTGATCCTCCCTGTGACATGGTGAGACTGATGCAATGTCCTCACAATGAAAATTCAGAAATAGCAGCAAAAAAAGTCATAAATTAATCAACTCAAGGAGAAAGGAGTTGAAAGACATGGACGATTCAGTCTGTTTAGAATCACAAAAAAGAATCAAGAGGGATTGATGAGTTATATCAGGACTTTCAAACGGAGAATGAGCTTTTTTAGGAAAGAAAGAAAAAGCCTGGCAAGAGCAAGTGCCTGGGAGCAGAAACCAGATGTATTTTAATGTGAAATGAAGCACGGATTTTTAGAGGTGATTGCGAGATAACGGGAACAAACTCCCGAAGGAAGTGAAGGGTTCTCTAGTTTTGGTGTCATTAAATCAGGACTTGGGGCCTTTCTGTAAGAGGGATATTAGCCCGATGCAGGTTACAGGCTCTGATGGGATGTATTCACGTGGTGCCATGTTGCTCATGATGCAGAGGTCAGAGTCTATTCTTAAAATCTCCGGGCATTTTTTCAGTCCTCTGGAAAAGAGCTGTGGAGTAGACAGGATGGGAGGAGGAGGAGGGGATGAAGATACAGTGTTGCTGAACCCCCTGCCTTTTTATTCTTTCTTTTTAATGCAGGAGAGCTCCCAATTCCTGAGTGCTGCAGCCCAGAACCGGCCCCACACGGGACGCAGGTTTGTTCCCTGTTTGCCTTCCTCTGCTCTGCTCCCAAGGTCCCTGGAGTGCAGGAAGGCATCTCAAGCCAAGCACAGCTCAAACAGCTTGCTCCTGGGAAGGCTCTTTTCTGCCCTGCACAGAGAAAGGCCCGGGGAATGAGAGACAATATCCTTCCCTCTACTTTAGCCAGGACAAAATTCTAGGGACTCCGGAGTGGCATTCCCATCCTTTCAGACATCTGTGTAGCAGGATGCCAGTAAAGAGGTATGGGAGGAAACCTGACAAAAAAAAAAAAAAAAAAAAAAAAGCAAAAATACCCCCAACAGCCCAGTAGCACCAGTCTGTTCCTCCGTGTTGGCATCTCGGTGCCATCGTTCGGTGAACAGCCCAGTAGCACCAGTCTGTTCCTGCATGTTGGCATCTCGGTGCCGTTGTTCGCTAGGTCACTATATGCTCTTGCTATTTGAGTTTGCACCAGACAGTTCATGACTGCAGAGGATGGTGTCAGTCCTCCCAAGGCTGCAGATTGGGAGTGAGTCTTGCTAGAGAAAGGAAGAGAAATACTTTGGGCTGGAGGAGGATACGTCTGGTTGAGAGTCGTAACAGCATCAGTCAGATTTGGTTGTGATTAAGCCTGTTAATTGCTTGCGATTCAGTCTTAGGTGCAGATAATTTCCTATTTTACAAGTAAGTCAGCTGAGCAGCTGCTCAAAGACACTGAGCAGAACGAGGTTAGAATTCCAGGTCCTCTCTTTGACATGGAGGTGACCTGTGATCCACTGGCACTTAGGTGTTACCTGTGACATGTCACTGGGGTGTAGGCCCAGCTCCCATCCTGGAAAGAGCCACCTCTGCCAGACTTAGCTAGTGGGTCTGGTCCCAGGGGCACTCAGGAGAGGCCTTGAGTCAATCCGTGTTTTATCCTCTTGGGAGCAGCTCTGAGAGCTGCCTGGGCAGAAAAGGTGTTGAATGGACAAGGGGCTTTTTTGTAACATGACTTCTCGAGTCGAGAGGCATCTCCGGGTGGGTGCAGTATGCACTGTTGCCACTCGATGGCACTAAATTTGTATGCAAGCTTGGAAACTAAAGCTGTAGGCTCGGCTAATCCTCCTCCCTGCCAGAGCTGTGGCAAAGGAAAAAATACTGTTCATTACTAAGGAAGAAAAGGAAATCCTGCGCAGCAGAGACAGTGGATTAGGAGTGTGCAGTGTTGAGTAAGCTGACAGCTCAGGCTCAGTTTGAATCATGTAAAGATATAGAAATATGTCAGTGCGTGTTTGGCAGAGAGAAATGCTGTTTGTGCCATTGAGCAGGACAGAGGAGGGAGCAAGGGCTGACGTTCCCCTCGAGGAGGGGAGCTCTGGTTATGTCTGAGAGGCAAAACCACCTTCCTGGCCAGAGTGGAGGGGAGCAGTGTCCCAAGAGCTTCCCTGAGCAGATGTCCATAGGGGACAGGGCAACCTTTTGTGACCCATGACACCAATTTAACTCATGCTCTTGATTGCAGCCAGACGGTACAAATATGTCACACGGCTCCCTAGAAAGGATCTCCTGTAGCATTTGTACCTTTTTGATGTCTAATAACTTTCTTTTTCTTTGACTCCTCAGAGTGACCTAGCACGACAAGGACATTTAGAGGAAGCTGCTTTCCAATTGCAGCAGATTTTCCGAATTGATATTTCCATTGCATTCAACATCCTTGGTAATATGGTCTCAGTTCTGTTTTGTCCTTAAACCATATTTTTCTCCTTTTGGAGGACCTCCAAATTGTTGCAGATGGCATATACCCAAAGCTGAAGCCTCCTTTCAGCAATTTCAACTGTGCTTTGAGAGATTTATTGCCCTTTGTCCCATTCTGCCACCTGATTTATATCAGTGCATTTAAATCCAGGGTTGGTTGAAGCCTGCACTGTTGTTCTGACATCTGTAGTTGGAAATTAAGTAATCTCTGTCTTTTTGTAACATGAGCTGTCCTGTCTTCGCAGCTCCTTTTTCAGTGTCTGAGGTCTCATCTTCCTGGCAGGCTGAAAAAGCAGATGCAGAGTCACAGCTCTAAGGAAAGTTGAAGTAAGATTCAGCAACCTAGAGGCCAGGGATTTTATTTTCTAGTAAATCCCTAGTTGCAGCACTAGAGAAGGGGTCACTCAACATATGTGAATCATATATTGAGCAAGTCCTTCTTTCTTCTATGCAATGGGACTAGAAAAATCCCTAAAGCATTGACTTACTGTTGGGCCTGGGGATACTTTTTAGTCTGAAGTGGGGCCCAGTGAAAGCAAATTGAACTACTTGGCATGGGACAAGGAAGGCCTAGTAGCTGGAGGAGAGTTGCTGTGTCTTTTTGCTGATTCTTTTTGTCCATTTTCTCTTTTTCTACCTTGCCTTCTTCCCAGGGATTGAAAGCATGAGAGCCGGCCACTACAAGGCAGCCTATACCTGCTTCAAACTGGCCGCAGATCGAGGCTACAGCAAAGCCCAGTTCAATGTGGGTCTGTGTTACGAGCATGGCAGAGGCACGGAAAAAGACCTGGAAAAGGTATCCCTGTGTATAGAGTTGTCCATCTCCTGCATGGAGATGTATGGTGCACGATGATCCACTGCATGGAAGCCTTGACTGCAGAAAAATTGACATTTTAAGGCAAGCAGCAGGTTTGCCATGCTGGCTTCCCTGCCGCAGATCCCCTTGGAGCTATGCTCCTGAATTCCCTACAGATGTCACATACATTTATGAGACCCCGGCCCACGTATGCATGTTGTGCCACAAGCAGCTATGGGGCACCAAGGAGAACCCGTTACGGTGTTTAAACGGCCGCACAGCCGAAGCGCCAGTACCCTGACTACAGCCTGCCACCTAGCGCACGCCGGCTGTAGTCAGCATCTTCCTGTATTTGTTTCGGGCAGGGCTGCTCATCCAGAAGGTCTACAAGAGCCCCTGGTTTTGAGTAAAGCAGGGAAACAGGGAGAGCTTTGGTATTGTTGGCCCACCTCCAAAATGGAGTTTGTGACTAGAGGTGGCAGGGCTGGTTAAAAGACTCTCGTATGGTGACAGCCAGCTCTCCCACCTGAGCAATCTCCTGTATTTCAGCAGGGAAACATGGCAGGACTGCAGGGAGGTGCAACTTGGAACTAGTCTCAGCCTGAATTGGTCTCTCGGGAGAGGAGGGATCGTAGTGCCTGAATCACACGTGTGTTTCTGTGTTTCCAGGCAGCTTTTTATTACTACCTCGCAGCCAGCAACTGCCACGCCATGGCACAGTACCGCTATGCTAGATGCCTCCTGTGCCACAGACCTGAAAATGAATGGGACAGTGTTCAGAAAGCCGTGACTTTTCTGGAGCAGGCAGCGATGGCCGGGATTACGGAGGTTAGTATCCACATAAAAGCTGAACATTTTGGTAGGAGAGAGCCAACGGAGAACCCCTCCTTTAGGATCTGAACCACAAGACATCTCAGAAAGCAGCATCTATGGGACTGAAAGCAAAATTCTTCTTATGTATGGATACCTCTGCCAGTGTATGGGATACAGCCCCACCTGCCACTTAGGTGCAGTAAGCACCTAGATACCTACAGTGTCAACAGTATTGGTTTTCTGGTTTGCTCTAGGCCTCTTTTTGCCCATTCCCAAAATGCTTCCAGGATTCCTTGCATACTAGTAAGTGCCAGCTCCCAGTCCCATCATGGTGTTAAAGGCATTTCCTTCTTGGCTTTTCTGCTTAAGGAAGCGATGCAGTTATAACTAATGCCCTCCGCATAAGGCTCCTTCTTACCTCACAAATGAAGAGAGAGCTCAGAAGCACCAGTTCTTACAAAGTCACACTAAGTCACTTGTTCAGTGCCAGGAGTTTCTAAGGTCTGCTGTGTTTAATAGAACAGGGACAGTCTTTCATGCCCAGAGAGCCTGCAACCAATTTTCAGTGAGCAGAAGCAACCCTATCCAGCAGATAGGGATCTGGAGCAAAGTAGAGCAGATCTAACATTCCCAGAAAGCAAAGTGTATGCCCTGTTACCACAGGTGACGTCAACATCTATATTTAGGTCAAACACGTTTTGATGTTATGTGTCTAAACACAATTCACACATCT